AGGGCGTGTCCCGGGAATTCTGGGAAGTGTAGTTGGGACTCCTGTATACTTGGATAACTTCCGCTACAGGAGGCTACGGCTGTGTCAGAGTTCCCGTCGGGAATTCTGGGAAGCGTAGTTCAGGAGGTCTCTGTAGGCAGAGTCACTTCCGCCCCAGGTACGCGAGGCCGTGGCCTTCGTTCCTCCCAGAAAGGTGAGCCCTCCTCTCCCGGTATCCCCTCCCTGCGTCCACACCGATCTTTCAGCGTTTTGCTATGGCCAGAAGTACCCAGGCTGTCGACCTTGGGGAAGAGAATGCACCTACGGCGAAGGGCGGGGCTTGTGTTTCTTTTGAATGAGCCTTCTCAAGTGTGGGGCTGCTTGCGCATCCCGGGCTTAGTGCTGGGACCAGGGGTTGTACATCGCGGGGATTGAGGGTTTCTGTACTTTCCCAACCCTTTTCCCTGGCTAGTTCCTCCACTTCCTAGCAGCATGTTAGGCAAGTATCCTAATCTCTCACTGCCTGTTTCTTCTTCATTAAAATCGTTATTAGCATCTACTTAATAGAGTTACTTTGAGAGTGAAATAAAGACTTAGAACAGAGAAAGCACGTGACACACAAAGCCTAAAATATTCACTGTCTCTTTACAAAAACTGGTTTACTGACCCCAATCTAGGTGAAAAAGAAATGAAGGAACAGCACATGCAAGGAATGGTCTGGAGACTTATGGTGTCTGAGATCAAGTGATTTGCGTGGCTGAAGACTGTAGGGGGAAAAGGGTTCCTAGGGAAAATGAGCAGATAAAAATGGAAGATTCCTCTCTGTTTGGCTTGCTAAGAATCTCAACTTCATCCCTAAGACAGCTGTGCACAAGTTTTCACCACCAGGTGCCTACAAAGGCATCCACAACTCACATCACTGTTCTTTCCTCTTAGTGACAGCTCCAGGAGTATCTTGTAATAGAGAGAAACAGGGAGCTGGAATCTGCAGGCCTGGGCCTGCTCTGCTCCTGGCTGGTGTTTTCTCTGTCTGTTGGTGAGGCTGCATTGCCTCATGGTTAATTGCATGGGCTCAGCTTGCAAACTGTTGCCTCTATTCATGTTATATTCTGTGGTTTGCAACCCTCTCTGCAAACTGTAGTGGGGAGGGATTCATAAAAGCTATTCTTTGGCAGATCCTGATTTATAGATCCTGGATTGCCACCTGTGCACTGGTGTTTTTAAAAACTTCCATGATAACCAGTGATCTGGCAGATTGAAAGCCACTGTCCTGGTAATTGAGAACACAAACTCTGGACTAAGAATTCTAGCTGTTCTGTTGGCTAACTGGATAATTATGAGCAAGTAACTGAAAATCTTGGGGCCTCATTATTGTTTTTTTTTTGCAGGCCAGGGCTGGGCTTTAACCTGCCACTTCTGGCATATGGGGCTGGCGCCCTACTCCTTTGAGCCACAGGCACTGCCCAAAATATGTTTGTAGGCTCTTGAACAATTTTTTTTTTTGAGACAAAGCTTCACTATGTCACCTTCAGTAGAGTGCTGTGGCATCACAGCTCACAGCAACCTCAAATTCTTGGGCTTAAGCAATTCTCTTGCATCAGCCTCCCACATAGCTGGGACTATAGGCACCAGCCATAAAGCCTGGATGCCTCAGTATTCTTAATTGTAGAATTGTCATACAGATAGTCTCACCCACTAGTGAGGATTAAATGAGGTTGTTCCTCTGAAGCACACAATTTGACTCTTGACTTCTTCTCACCACCTCTTCTGCTTCCTCTTGTTAATAAAAAAGAGCTCAAACTCTGCGAAATAATTTCTAGAGGTTTTTTACTGAGCCAAGTGTGAGTGACCATGGTCAAGTGCCACACCCAGGAAGCCTAGAGCAAGTGGACTTGCTGTGTTTGGTTTTGTATATTTAAGGGAGAAAGGAATTACACATAAACTCATTAATCAATACACAGAAGGTAAACATTGGTTTGGGCCTAAGACATCTCAAAGAAGGGGATTATAAGTTATAGATGGGTTTAAAGATTCTTTGATTTGTAATTGATTGAAGTCATGAAGCTTTCTCTAAAGCAGTGGTTCTCAACCTTCCCAATGCCGCAACCCTTTAATACAGTTCCTGTGGGTTGCGACCCACAGGTTGAGAACTGCTGCCCTGAAGGCTTGAAATGTTTTAAGTTAAGGAAGTCTGTTAATCAGAGAGAAGGCCCCAGACATAGACTCATTAGACCTGCTGAGTGAATTGAGGACCTGCAGTTGTGGTTCAAGCTTTGTCTTGCATAGCTTATGCTTCCAAGGAGGGAAGGTGGCATGATGAGGCATGTCTGATTTCTCTTTTCATGGCCAACAACTGAATGGCCAACAATGGGGGTTGCTCAAGTTTTTTTTTTTTTTTTTTTTTAGAGATAGAGTCTCATTATAATGTACAGAGTCTCGTTGTAATCTACAGGCACCCGCCACAACACCCAGCTATTTCGTTGTTGTTGCAGTTTGGCCAGGGCCAGGTTCAAACCCACCACCTTCAGTATATGAGACTAGCGCCCTACACACTGAGCCACAAGCACCACCCTTTTTTTTTTTTTTTTTTTTTGTTGTTGTTGTTGTTGTTGTAGCAGTCATTGTTGTTTGGCAGCCTGAGCTGGATTCAAACCCGCCAGCTCAGATGTATGTGGCTGGTGCCTTAGCCACTTGAGCCACAGGCACTGAGCCAAGGGATGCTCAAGATTTTATGTTAGCTCATACACTTTTGCTCCAGGTATCCTCTAACATTCTGTCATACTCTGCTAACTTCCCTGTCTTTGAGGGAAGCTCAAATATAGCTCAGTCATCCACCGAGGTTAAGAGCAGACCTTGTGTTCTCCATTGAACCTTTCCATCCTACTTTTCCATCAAGTCTGGGTTGGAGGGCCCCTTCCATGCTCTCCCAAAGGACTCTGTTCTGGCATCTATCTGGGAACTGTATCCCTTTTAGAAGATGATCCGTAAATATTGGATAAGTGAAAGAAAACAGATCTTCCACTGCTGATTGTGCAGCACATTCATACTTGTACTTGTTAGTTGTGCATACATCTGATGGATTCTACAGCAGTGGCCATGTGGGAAGGGACTTGGAGGGAGGCATGTGTCCTACTGGAGTAGCAGACCTCTCTGAGGTGGTGTTGAAAGGCTCTGCACACACAGTTCATGATTAGCTTTTTTTTCTTCTTGAGACCAAGTCTTACACTGTTGCCCTAGGTGGAGTGCCGTGGCATTCCAGCCCAGTGGTAGCTGGAATCCAGCCGATGCTACCTGCTCTAAGGCTTAGAGGATACATGTGATCACATCTGCTGGGGGAGAGGCACCTTTTTCTAATTTGCACAAAGATAACATTTCCCTTTCTCTCATGGCTTCTTTCGTGTAACCCTGCTCTGCTTTCTTAGGTCTTTGACTTACCCTAGAAAAAGGAGAAAATGACCAAATTCCAGGTGAGTTGATTTTCATTTCTGTCATCTAACATGTTACCTCATTTCATAGTCAGTGGACACATTTGTTTTTCCCTTTCTTTGTCCATGGTAAAGAACAACAATAGGTATTTAATATTGCTTTTGTTTTTGCCTTTTCTGAAATTTCCTTTTAGTTT